AAATGTTAAGCAGACGTCTACGACCAGCTCTAAACAGAAAGTAATAAATAACCAGTTTGATGTTTAATTTAACACGCAAGTAATCAAAAGAAATGCATTTGGTATTTACACTTCTGAATGTGACAAATTGGTTTTTCTGTTGTTTTTCACCTCCAGGTCTCTTTATTCTCTTTGCATGAAAAAACAGCCTCCACAGATTAAAACTAAAGGATTGTTGTCATAATTCTCTGCAGTTCTCCTCCGGCGGGTTTTATTACCAAAGGCGGTGAATAATCTTTCTCCACCCTGGCCATCCCAAATAACACCATCCCTCAGTATCACTGCTTACTGTGCTTTATGATGAGGTGTAGATGAAAGAAGAGGAACACTGAAATGAAGCACAGGCTGCTGCTGGAGGAGGGATCCATCAGCAGCAGCCTGTGTGAGTATGAAGAGCAACAAAGGGGAAGAGGCTGTTGTCTAATTATTTCATTTACTCTTTTCACAAATGACGAGCACAGATTGAGAGGGTAAATAAAAAGCAGGTGGAAACCTGTTTCTGAGACAAATAAGTGGCCCTCTTTGGCCTAGCGTGGATTCATTTCCAGAGGCCACATATGTGCTGTTTCAAAGTGTGCTTTCTGTAAATTAGGAATGTTCAATCTGAGCCAACAACAAGTGTACAGGCCCCAAACCACAGCAGTGTGATGAGGGCAGTGCAGCCGGTCTGTTACCGGCTGGCAGACGACTGTGCTCCACCAGGTATAGGACATAGAGAAGAGATCTGATCCAGTCAGCTTCAGTTTTCAGAGTCACTATGAGGAGAGGAAACTCAGTTTGAACCTTTATGGCGTTAAATCATTGTTGTCAGAGTATTTAATGAGTGACTGGGTCTTTATGAAGTCCATAAAGTGAGAGTATTCTGTGTTACGAAAGTGAAAGACCATAAAAAGGTTTCTTTAAACAGAGAGTGGCTCTGCTTTAGACGCTCCACATGGGGTCACTTCAGCACTTCTTGTGTTTCTTTGGGGACTTTGCACCTGTTTTGACTTTTCCTGTCAGGGCTTGAAGTCGGGATTTGTTTGTTCGTTGCCTGATGTGATTTTTATGTTTCTTTTTTGTGCATTTTTGAGAGTTTGAAACATAATAAAGGAGGAAAACATAGAGGCAGGATTTGACCTTTTTTATGTTAATAAACCTCTAGCAGGGTGGGAGATGTGGAGGTGTTCTTTGGTTTTTAAAGGCTCAGTTCGCTAAATTCAAACACATTTACGTAAGAGAAAGAAACAAAGAACACTTATATAAGAATTTATCCAAAAAGTTTGAACTTATTTGACCCTTTGGGCTCCGTCCTGCTCTGAACTTTTTATTAACTAGTTTGTAAAAATATATTAATCATTACTCCTATGAATATTTTTACAGCTCATTTTCACATTTAGTTTCAGTTTATGTTGATTCCTCTGTTGTTGTTGAGTCTTTGATCTCTTTTGCTTGGATGTCAACACACTTTGTTAACCCTTATTGTTTAAAGGCGATATATGAGATTTTACCAAAAGGATTTGATCATATGACATGAAATGTTTTTATAGGAAAACAAAAAAACTACCCTCAAACCCTAGTTTTATATGTCTGGCTGAGTTAAACTGTATCCTTATGTTCATTAAAATTCAAATGCAGTTTAGCATACATGGATTTTTTTTGTTTGTTTTTGTCCTTATAGTGACTGACACTGTTTTCATGACCACTTATCCTAAATTAACCCTTTTTGTTATCTTGTCTTGTTTTAAATGAGGTTTAATAATATCAGTAAAAATCTCAAATGTGCTAACATTCACAGCAAAGAGTCAAAGAGGCGTGTTTGAACTACTTGGGCTCAGCTTTTTTTAAAAACTGTATGACTTTTTTGTTATTTTCTGATTTTTCTGTTGCATCTATTTTCTACTGAAACCTTAGAAATGTTTAATGTGTAAAAATCTGAGGTCCATATTAATAAGTGCTGGTATGCTTTGAGGGAAACGAGAGGTTATTGTTTATGATTTTGGTGGATGGACCCCATGAAGCAGTCTCCTGAAAACAGGTTTCTGAGCAGCACAGTGCAGTGATAACAGAGCAGCTTATGGTCCTCTGCTCAGCAGCTCCGGCTCTGTGAGGCAAGAGAGCCGGGCCGTCAGGGATTTGTCAGAGGCCTGTTATTACATCTCTAGTCACATAAAATATGGCCGCCTCTCTTGAGATCCAACGGCGAGATAAATCCACTCTCCTCCAACCAGACTGGCCCCCGCCATGAAACCAGCCAATGGCGCTCCTCAGCCACTGACCTCTGTAATGACATGTGATTTATACAGTACATGTTTTAAACTGAGACACACACCTCTCCCTCTCTGTATCTATATCTGGTGTCATGTGAGATAACAGGCAGGCCTTTGGGAGAGGGGAGACATGACACCCATCTTTGGGGTCTCACAAGATGGCTACAATGTGGATAGTTTCCCCTGCAGCTGTCTGAGCCTGCACTGAGTGTGTGCCCTGCTGCACGAGCTCACTCACACATAGTGCAGAGTGGCACTTTAAGAGAAGTGACCGCAGTGTGGACGGCCTAAATCAACACCTGGTTTGGCAGAAAAAAAGCCTCATGTGTGAAAGGAGTAGATTAGAGAAGTGCTGCAAAAACACTGCGAGTGTGCACTGCTATAGTGAGATAAACAGGAGTTCTTGTGGCTTATTACAAAAATAAAGTTCAACGCCGGTCATAAAGGCTAATGAATACGCCAATCCACAAACAGAGAGACAAAGAGTGTCGGAGATAACCTTTTCCAGACACTCAGAGCTGAGTTTTGTCCCCTGAACAGTCCAGTAGCTTAAAGGATTACGTTGTGTCTGAAGAAGAGCTGAGAGGCCGGCTGTGTTGTTGACCTTGGAGAGCGACACACGGAGATGATGACACACAGAGCACCACAGATATATCTGTCTTTAATCAACAGACACCCAGGACCAGGACCAGGACCAGCTCAGAGAAGCAGACTGAAAAAATAAATCATAAAATATAAATAATAAATAAACGGTTACCCCCCTGTGTATCATTTAAGGTTATTTACTGAATGTTTAACACATAAATATAGCTTATATAATGTTAATGCTTATGTGTACTGAATGAGTCACAAAGCTAGTTTCAACTCTAAACTAGAGGTTATTATCCCTGCTCACAAAAACTATAAAATTAACGAATAAAAACATTGTTAAGTGATAAACTATTTTAAAGTATCTCCATGATTCAATCTGCCTTTCAATACTATTTTTATGCATTTTCTTTACTAATTTTTCCTCATGGTCTTTGCAGTAAATATATGTTGTATATTCTAGAAATTATTTTGTGAGCACAACAAGCAGGAGAAACGTTGTAGAGATAATTTCAGAAATATGTTTAAAAGTTGATTTTCTCTGTCCATGTGGAGAAAAGTAAACCTCTGAAATCAGCACCAACCCTCACCAAAAAACAAACAAAAAAACTTCTGCACAGCTGGTTTCCTTTCTATCTTTTTTTTAATTTTTAAATGAAAGTTAATTAAAGTGAATAAATGTTACCTCTTTACAAAATGAAAACCAAATATATTTTAATTTTATAAAAAAAAAAGCCAAAATAAAAGTTGAAGTCTTGATATCGGTTATTTGACTTGAATTGTTTAATTATAAAATGTTAAGGCATGGTAGATTTCAGGTTGTTAAAATCTAATCCAAATTCTCTAACATCGATTTTCTTTTTTTAAGTCTTAGTCTTGATTTTGTTCGTTTCTCTGTTTTGCTCATTTTTTTAATGTTTAGTTTTGATTAAAAAAAGAACCTTGTTGATAATATTTGGTCGAATCGAACCTAAATTCTCCTGTTTGGTGACGCTGAGCTGAACTGTTTAATAACATTCGACCTTTAAGTTATTTTTTTTCTACGTTTCATAATATTACGACCAAACAATAGAGTCCAGGATTAAAGGAATAGTTACAACAATTCGATTGGTTCAATAATAATAACCTCAACTCCTTCATCATCATCATCATCATCGTCATCATCATCATCATCATCATCATCATCACCTCGATGATGTTTTTTTTCCGTCACTGTCGTAAAGCCAAACATTGCAACATTAACTGGTTAGTAAATAAAATCATCAAAAATAACAAAAAAATAACAAGACTGCCTCTACATCCACACATGAAAACAATTTACACTGACAAACAAAAAAAAATTATAAATATGAAAGTCTTTAACCTTATTTAGCCGATTCAGAGTTGTAAATAATACAGAAAAAAAATAAAATGAAGCAAAAAATTAAAAAAAGAATTACAATTTCTGCTGTTTTAAATTTTCAAGTCAATTTAGTTTTACGAATAATACTGAAATATCTTGTCCTTGTGCGTTAATTCTTGGCCAAAAACAACCGACCCACAGCCCTTTGCCGGTTTTGTCCAAACAGCCTCATCCTGTCAAACCTGGAGGACGCGGGGAGGTTTGAGAGGAGATGAGAGATTTCTCGGATGATATAAAAGGAGTCTTTTCGCCTGAGTTATGGCCCGAGTTCGGCGTAGCTGAGAGGGATGCATGCTGCTCCTTCTCTCCGCCCCAGAGGAGGAATCATCAGAGCTGATCTATGGCCCAGCTCTACTTTACCTTTATAAAACAAAGGATCATCCGCGCTTTTGGTCGAGAAAATATCCTCCTCACTACCTGCGACATCTAACAGAACACCTGAGTCGATATGTCTGCTTGCAAGCATCCAGTGAATCCAAACACTTGTGAAATAAAAGCCTGCAAACTCCTTGGCTGACACTGAAGTTTTACGCACAAAAAAAAAAAGCTTAAATAAGATTCAGATTATGAATCTCTCTCCCTAAATCTCCCTCTTTCTTTCTTCCTCTCCCTCTCTCTCTGCCTCCCCTCATTTACCCCACAAAACTATTCTGGTATCTCAGCACACGACTAAATTAGACCAAAGATGATAAGAGCACAAAGCATTATAATTCCGCCGGGCTCCTCCTCCTTCCAGCCATGCGTCCTAATTAATGGGACACCCCCAGTCGCAAAAAGCGCCGCACTGGACTGCAACATAGTCAAAGAGTGAAAGGGAAGAGGGCGAAAGTGCCACTGGAGATAATTGATTACCTACCAATCAATGAGAACTTGTTAGTAATCGTCAACTCTTTGGACCTCGCCATTTTCAGGGAGGCATCTCACTCCTGCGGACCCGCTGCTCCCGAGGATCCACACTTTGAAGGCATCCCATTTTGGAATAAGATTTTCTTTTCTCCCCCCTTCTTCTCTGTGTCTTTCTTTCCTAACCTCTTTACTGTTATGTGATTTTTTTTCCACCCCTCGATAGCTTCGTTTTTGTTGTTATCTTTCTAAATATTTCAACTCAAGTCCCTCCACAAACTCTGCGCACAACCAATGATGACATCCAAAGAAGTGGCCAAATGTGATGCAGTGGAAACCAGGAGGCGAAGTCCGCTGGACCACTTGCCGCCTCCTGCCAACTCCAACAAGCCACTGACCCCTTTCAGCATCGAGGACATCCTCAACAAACCCTCTGTGAAACGAAGCTACACAATCTGCGGCACGGCTCATCTCATCTCGTCCTCTGAGAAGCACCGTCCGTCGAGCATCCCTCTGTCCAGCCGGGCTCTGCTCACCCAGACCTCCCCGCTCTGCGCGCTGGAGGAGCTGGCCAGCAAGACTTTCAAGGGGCTGGAAGTCAGCGTGTTACAGGCAGCAGAAGGTACAGCTCCATCCTTATATGCACTTTGTTTATAAAATCTTTTCTCTTGCATTTTTCTCTTGCATTTTATTTTTTTCAGTCGAGCAGGCAGGAATTAATATTTCATTTTTTGCGCATCGAATTTAGTTGCATCCCAGACAAACCTTTTTTTTTCTTTTGTATTTTTATTGCAGCTATTTTCCTCCTAATGTGTGCCATCGAACAAAGGCATGTTAATTTTCTAAAGGAAATAAATCGCCGCCTTGTCTTTAATAAGGTCTCGGGTGTGTGTGAGTGTGTGAGTGTGTGCTCAATATTTCCCAGTGGTGTCTGGGTAATATTCTTGAAATGACCTGTTCCCTGCAGAGCTGAAAGCTTGACTGTCTCTCACACTGTATTAGTTTCTCGCTTATTTTGCGTTAGGGTCATTTTTACGCGCCGCTTCTGTGCTCGTGGTGGTTGTTTCATCAGTGCGCCTCTGTCTCTCCCTCACAGGCCGGGATGGAATGACTCTGTTCGGTCAGAGGAGCACCCCGAAGAAACGCAGGAAGTCTCGGACGGCTTTCACCAACCACCAGATCTACGAGCTGGAGAAGCGCTTTCTCTATCAGAAGTACCTGTCCCCGGCAGACCGGGACCAGATCGCGCAGCAGCTCGGCCTGACAAACGCGCAGGTTATCACGTGGTTTCAGAACCGGAGGGCCAAGCTAAAACGGGACCTGGAGGAGATGAAGGCCGACGTGGAGTCTGCCAAGGCCGTCGGCCAGGTCCCCTTGGACAAACTCGCCAAGCTGGCGGACCTGGAGAAATGCGCCAACGGCACGCTGGGCCACCCGCGAGGAGAGTCCCCCGCGCGGGGCGGCCAACAGGAGCACGAGCTCGCTCAGAAACTGCGCTCGTCGCCGCTGTCGCCGTTCTCGGACCACACAACGAGTAAAGAGTGCTCGGAGGACGAGGACGTGGAGATTGATGTGGATGACTGATGTGCGCAGCGTGGGGCTGAAGGACGAGAAACACTGAGAGACGATTTAAAAAAAAAAAAAATCCTCGCGAGGACTTGTAACTTACTGCTCATATTGTATACCATATCTGAGAACATGTACCAAAATGTAATGACTTTTATATCGGCGCAGATAGAACTATTCATAGAGACGCATGAACACAGAAGCAGAAATATGCAGCGATATTTGATTCATGAGCAAACTCTGACTTCCTGCAATCGAAGCAATACGGTCGAATATGACACGAGTAACTTATTATGATTTTACACTATTGGCCCACACACACACACACACACACACACCGACACACACAAACATTTAAAACAACACACACTCACTCACACACACACACACACACACTCACTCACACACACACATAGCCACACCTGCCTCTCGCTCTCCCTGTGGGCCTGAACCCTCACACACACACACATACACACATACACACCACAATGGAAGTGCTCCAGTTTTTCATCATTTTTGCATGTAAATGCATGATTTGATTTGTGATCATTATCTATTTATTTTACTTTATTATTATTTTTTTATTTAAGATTTTTTTTTGGTGTTTTCTGCCAAATCGCCATTGAGTCAATAGCTCACTGCCGGCTCTCTCCCCTCCTCTTCCTCCTCCTCCTCTTCCTCCTCCTCTGAGTGTGACCCATGAATTCGGTTCATATTCGGCGTGATGAAGATGAAGATGATGATAATAGAGAAAATATTGACGAGCAAACTCGGACTTTCTCAGTTTGGCTTTCTATGGGAATGTTGTAGAGGTGGCGAAAAAAACAAACACACAGCTGGCTCTTGCGGTGGTTTTGAGACGCTTTCTGCTCCTTTTTAGATGTATTGTTTGGATACAATAGATTTACGGTAATAAATTTGTTATGTTTTGTACACCTGTAAGTGCCTTTCTAAAATCAGGACATTATTTGAAAAACCAATGCACAGACTGTAATGTATATAGGCTACTATGGGAATAAAATGGCTTTTCTGAATATAAGCGGTATTATTTGTTATTCTTGAATGATTATGTGGGCTCTGTCATGGGTATAATAGCTTGGGATTTTTTTTTTCTAATGAGGACAAAATATCGTTTGAGAAACACGCTCTCGGTGCCAAATCGAGTCGTCTGAGCCAATCAGAAACGGCCTTTTCAGAGTTATTATTCTGAACTATTTTGTCCCTTTGTGTCCTTTTATATTTGGACGCTTTAAACATTTTGTAGCCCGGAATCTCTCATCTCCTTTCACGTCCTAAATGCGTATCATGGCTTCTTGACCCTTAGACGTGTTTCTCCATTCGGGCTAAAAATTTATGTGAGAAACACAAATCTGGTGCCGGGGAGAAAAAAGGCGAGGATGCCACAAAAACACAAAGTTTTGGGCCAGTTTCTCCGGGCTTTTATAGAGGTTTTTTTGTTCTGCGGGACTGGGCCGTAATTTTGAGCGTAAAGCATGAAAAGTGGGGACAAATGAGCCGCGGCCCCTGATGGGACGAGTCACAAAGGAGCAGGGCCGGACCCCCGCAGGCAGCCATACTGAGACAAGTGTGTCCCACCGCACAAAAAGGACGCAAACGTTTGGAGGCCATATGGTTTTTGAAATTTCCTCACAATTTCAGACAATTTGATGGATTGAGTTAACCCTCCTTTTAAACAGTTTAACTGAGTGCGAACAAAGGCCATAATGCCTACATAGACTCTCCCTTCATGAGGGCATCTGCGCCTGTTAATGTCTGGCCCCTTTCTTCGCCTGGCGTTTTGAACAAGTCAATGAATTACAATGAAAGTGGCCCTTTTTTGTGCGCCGCTTGTCTTTCTCCGCTTTTTAGCTTTGGAAGAATAAGCTTGACTTCTGTCCAAGAAGGATTTCTAAACAAGAAATGGATTTTGTTTTTTTTTAAATGTGAAGCAGGCAGCCATAAAGAGTTTGGACTGTGACATTTATGCCAAAGTCTGGTTAGGGAGTCCTTTGTTTGTTTTCTTCTCCTCTCTTTTTTTTCACTTCTTCTCTTTATTTCTTTTGTCTTTGAGGAGTTTAATGAAGCTGAAAACATGGTGATGTGAGAAAGAGAAAGTGTCCTGAGGAGGAGGGACACTGAAAAGGCTGCCTCTCCTTTAACTCTCTTTGTTAACAGGAATGATAAGTGGGCCTGTCCTCTGCAAACTTTTCACTTCTTTCAGGGCTGACTTTTAATTTCTTTGATTTTTTTAAACCCCTCACTGTATCCTGAATTAGTTTATGGACCTGTAAGAAGTTTAGATGACTGAGACATTGTAGATTCTCAGTGGGGAAATTAGTTCTTATACATTATAAATCAATAACATTTGATTTAAGCCAAAATATGCTGCAGTTATAAGAAGTAAAATGACATTTAATAAATGGTTTGTAACACATTATAATGCATTTGAATACTATGTAAGTGTTAGTTAAATCCATTCTCATCAATCAGGCTAATTTCTAAATTAATAAACCATAATTAAAGGCTGGTTTACAAAGAGGTCATGAACAATAATAGCAGTTAAATTTCAAAGTCTACTTTCACAAGAAGGTGTTATTGTTTGCAAAAGTTTTAAAATGCTCCTAAATATGCTTGAAGCTGCAGTTTTTAACCATTTTAGTAATATGTGTGTTTGAATGAGTTCTGACTGATATTACATTTATTTAAACTTGGATTTCAAAGTCATCCAGGAAAACTTCTGTTCAATTAAATACACGTTTGATGATCGACTCATTCATGTTACAATTTTACCACTTCATCCTTATCAATGATCCTTTGCTTTTCAGAATCTGTATTTCAATACTATCTATGCTGTGTGTGCTGTCTGTGTGTGTGTGTGTGTGTGTGTGTGTGTGTGTGTGTGTGTGTGTGTGTGTGTGTGTGTGTGTGTGTGTGTGTGTGTGTGTGTGTCCTCTGCAGCCTCTTCTGAATCCAGCATATTTATGAAGGGAGAGAGTGTTAAGGCAGGCTAAGTTTATGGATTTCTCTTGCTTATTTTATGAGGCCTTGTCAGGCGGGCTTGGTGATAAGTAATACTACAGTCTGTGGGACCACTTCGTGGTAATTAATCTGGAGGTCTTAAGTGTATTTCAGTATTTCACTTCAAGATGGAAAAAAATCACTACTTCAATCGTCCGGAAAATTGAAGTTTGATGCATGAGTCCCTACTGAAACAATAGTACAGCCCTCTCTCTTTTCATCTGCTGCCCTTCCCTTTTTATACTCTCTCTCTCTCTCTTTCTCTCTCTCTCGCTCTCCCACCCTCTCTCTTTTATCAACAACAGTTTCAGGTGCAAAGTGTAAAATAGTAACTGAAACACTGAACAAGTATCATGGTTAAAAAATAAGAGGCTGTCTAGTGTATGTTTGAATCTCTTCTTTGTTTAGTCGGCCCAGAGCAGAGCAGAGAAAACAGAGACCTGTTCTTGTATTTTATTAGTATTATCATTATTATTATTATCATCATGAATGAATAAGCCCAAAAAAGAGATCAGTAAATGAGTTTATATTCGCCTGGATTGTCTGAATTGTAGAGTTTTAATCATAGCCTTCCTGTGGAGCCAGTTAATACTTCAAACTTCAATTTTACGGGCGATTGAACTAAGCATGTTCCTGACAGAATTGATGTATGTATTAATTTCCTTTAACTGTTGATTAATTAGGTTGTGCTGAAGGCTCCAATGGAACAGTTTGTTTGGAAATTTGCATATTAATCAAATTCTAGTTGATCATTCAAATAATCCAGGCTGTGTGATTTCAGACGGGTGTAGCTGAAAAAAACATACAGCAGGAAAAATCTGTAAACAAATGCATGTTAGTTTCATCACTGCTGCTGCTGCTGCTGTTCCTGCATGTGTGTTAAATCCAACAACCACAAACCTCATCTAGACTCAACTCTTCAAATTGTGTTGTTGTAACCCCTGTTATGACAGATTGATGCCATTACACACATTTCTATACATTTGTGTTTCTTATATAAACCAGAGTATGTTCATGTGTATGAGAGAGAAAGCCGACAGCAGCAGATCTTAGTCAGTGTACCATCAGCAAATGACCCAACAGCAATGTAGGAGCATAAGATCCCCAACACCTTAGCAACACAAGCACACTAATGCAACAATCCACAACAAAATACTGAAGACATTATGCTTATATGACAGCTTTCATTTGGCCCATTTAATCAGACAGACAGGTAAACTTAAGAGAGAAAATGCACAGTTGATCGGTTCTTCAGTAAAGACCATTTTTTTTCTAAAATGATTTGATTTAGAGTAATAAAATCTATCACAATGTTGGGAATTTGATCAATAATAGCCTTAATAATAGGGGGCTGCTTTGGGTCTAACATGACAATGATTAAATCAGCAATTGGATTAATAATTGAGTTCTTTTGTCAGGGATTTGAACCAAGAATGTGTTGAGAGATCACTCATTCTCTAATTCTTTAACGCACGAGCAGCCCTTTAACTGTCATCTGAGATTAAAATTATCATGTTTAATGGATGTAAAGTGGAATATTTATATGGACCCCCGTGACAAGATTGTGTAACTAAAATATGTATTTTTTTAATGCATGGGATAACACACCAGCACAGAAAGGGTAAATAGAGGTAATACAGCAGAAAGAATAAACAATGAGTTGGAGAGATGACATTCAGTGGGAAACACATCAAGACCTCACAGATACATTTTTTTTAATCAGTAAATCATTCTCAAAAGTAGAGCTTATGAGAACTTTTCTGTTCTGAAATACTATGAAGAGATGGAGGGAAGTAGAAAAGAAAAAAAGAAAGAGGCGTTAATATTGTCAAAGCTGCTGAAACACTGAGGGACAGAGACACCTGCTGTTTACAAGAGGTACTGCACCACAGGGAGAAGTTCACTGTGAGTGTGCTGTTTTTTCTGCTTTTTTTCTAATCCTGAGTTTTGTTTGTGGTGTCTCTTCTTTTTCAAAACGCCAAATGAATCATCTCACAGTTTGTGCTCACTGTTGTCTTTTATTATGTAGCTTCATGGTGACTGAGAAAGGTTTTCCAGTTATCACTATCAAAGCCAGAAGACAGGACACCTTTGGAGGTTGAGAAAAACCCATGGCTTATGTATAAAGAATTTATATAATAAAAGATTCATAAAAGGTGATTTACTGCATTAAATGGTTGGCTATTGCTTCAGGAGATGGCTGATTATCTGGGTTTAAATATTTTGTTCATTGTAAAAATCCTCTTCTGAGATGACTGAAACTAACAAGTGTTTTATCACTGAGCGCTGCCTCTGAAATTAACCAGCTCTCTGTTTCCCTCAGCCCTTGTTTTGATTCAGTCTAAATTCTTATTATGGGTTTGTTATTAGAAACAGATTCAGTTAAAGCTGCTCACAAAGATCTATTTTCTTTTTGATCCACCCTGGTGAAAGTCGACTCCAACTTCATCAAAGGACTGTCACACCACAGTCGGTACCATACTGCATCAGCAAAGAACAGGTTCGGACTTAAACTGAGATTCACAGCAACCCCTAAACACTGAACACACTTTGCTACTGCACGATAGCAATACACAGTGGTCTGAGGAGCTACAAACAAACAAAAACAAAACGCCACTCTATAGCTACAAATAATGCTCAGAACAGCACCTAACTTCATCAACAGTACATACAGGGTCCCAGCCATCGTACTAGACACCAAACATCTTTTTAACGTTGCCTAATTTCTTTAGCAAAGAGACTAAACACAACTCACCCATTCTCTTCCAGCAGCGACTTGTTTGTAGTGAGACCTCAGGCCAGTCCATTAGTACTGCAGCGGGGTGACGCAGCTCAAGGAAGAACATTTATGATCATTTCCTCGATGTAATAATCACCATATTAATCATTTTTGCACTGCAGACGCGGTAGTTCTTCTGCCTTAAATTTCCACGCACTTCCTGAAACAAACATTGAGCGGTAGCGTTGTACGCCCACCACTTGCGCAGTAGCATTGTGCGCATTCGGCGAGAGAGTCGCTGTGATGACGCCGAATGAGCTACGCAATCCTTGTACGCCAATAGGCTGTATCAAGTGTCAATCATAGAAAACACGAACCCCATAATAACTTTTAACAACGGAGCAGTACAGAGAAAAGAGGACTTGAGCACAAACCAGTCTTACAATAACTACATGTCAACATCGCAAGCAGAGGGGAGAAAAAATTATGTTCTGTGCAATAAATTGCTAAAGTTTGTTCACAGCCCCATGAGCTTCGCTGGCGGCGGCAGGATTTATGACCTATACTGCAGCCCATCAACAGAGGGCGCTGTTCTCAGGGTGGCTTCACCCAGCAAGAAGGCAGATGGCGTCCATTCTATACACAGTTTATGGGTATAATACTGAAATACCTCACTGTAAATCAGGTAAATACGAGAAAGCATGAAACTGTCTTTCACTGAACTACACCTGGACAAAGTTTTATTTAACTTTTCTCAGTGATTTACTCCCCTATATGATCATCTTCAACTTTGTCAGAGTTTTTCATCCTTTAGATGCAACATGTTTGTCATTTCTCTTTTGTCAATAAACGACTGCGAGGAATTAATTGCAGACAAAAATTCAATCAGAAAAATAGTCTTAAGTCATAAAACCTGACTCAGCTGTTTAAAACATCTCAGAAGAGGACTCTTTTTTACCAAACACTCTCAGCTGCGTGGATCATGCGCAGTTCGGCGCAGTATTGATGCCGTTTAGACCTCCATTTTGTCGCAGGAAGTACGTCATCAACATTGGCGGTATTTTGAAAAAGAGGCTGTTGTCTGTGGGGGTCCGTGTTGTGGAGTAAAAAGAGTGATATTCACAAATAATGGTAAGACTTAACTTACGCTTAGGTGAGGTTTGTTATCCTTAACGCGAACGTATTATAATGGAGTCCTGTGTTTTCATATCAACACACAAGGGATACTATTTTTTTACCGCTAACATAGACCCGCTAATGTTAGTTAAACTTTTCTCCGTCATGGACTTTATTTAATCCGACACTATTTACACCTTTAAATGACACCACACACCTTTACACATTCTTACATTTGTCGTGTGTGTGTGTCCAGGCTGAGCTGGGATCAGCTGAGCTGTCAGAGGAAGCTCGTAATGAGCTGCTGGATCTGTGTGAGGATCAGTTTGCTCAGCTGGAAAAGGTAAACTTCATTTTTACTCTCATGGATCATGCTGAACTTTCTCACCTTTCTCAGATTGATAAAGAAACTGTACTTATGTTAGACTGTCTTTTTGTGTTGCAGCTTCAGAATGAGATTATACTGAGTGAGCCAGATTTCTGTGAGACCCCACAGGACCAGGTGAGTTATGTTTCCTTTTTATTTTACCTTCTGAAGTATCACCAGTGTCATTCATAGAAAAAACATTGAAATTAATTATTCACTTAAAAGGATATACAATACACAGTGGTCTGAGGAGCCACACACAAAACTCAACCAAAAAGCCACTCTATAGCCACAAATTATGCTCAGAACAGCACCTAACTTCATCAACAGTACATAAAGGGTCCTTGCCACAGCACTAGCCACCAAACATATTTTTAGCTTTGCCTGATTTCTTTAGCAAAGAGAGTAAACACAACTCATCTACTCTCTTCCAGCAGCCGCTTGTTTGTAGCGAGACCTCATGCCAGTCTATAATGGACTGCAGCGGGGGATGCAGCTTAAGTACTATGGCTGGGACCCTATATGTACTGTTGATGAAGCATTATTTGTGACGTTTTGGTTGAGCGCGTGGCTCTCTGTATATTACTATAGTGCGGTCGTTACTAAAGTTGGTATAACTAGAGAAGCAAGCGGTCAGCAACATTCATCTCTCAAGGGGGTGTCTAACTCGGTGTTACGGTGTGTTTGACCCTAAATTAATTTTACCCCGGAATATCCCTTTAACTATTCACAAAACTTCTATTTCCATGTTTGTTAGTTGTTCACATCATATTTGTTTCTTCTTCAAGTCCTTCTCATTTAAACTAATTAACTTTTTGCCTAATCTTTATATAAACAATAATGCAATGAAATGATGTAAAATATAAAATGAGGAACCAACAAACATACCTGTACATGGCCAACAATGATGCATCTTTTTAAACAAAAAGAGAGAGAAAGAGAAAAAGAGAGAACTATTAAACTGTGTTTAAAGTGTGGTTTTTGGGGTTGTTTCATCTAATTTTAGTCTGACACAAACTTTTTATCAATCAAAAGCACCAATAAAAAGCACTCTGTGTCATTGCAGCTCACCTGAGTTTATTTAAAGTTTCTTATGGCAAACCTAACCAGACTACAAACGAGTGTGACCCATGCTGTTGGAGTAAATGCGTAACATTCAATTTCAAGATACCACAACTAACTTGAAATGTATTTTTTAAATATCCCCACCAAAACTGGCAACTGGAAATGTTTCTGTTATGCCACTGATGACCTCTAAAATGTATTACAAACTCATACCAAGGAGCCAAAAGAAATAAGATGTTGTAAAATTGATTCAAAATTTCTTATATAGAAAACATTTTTGTGCTGTTGTATAATCTCTATGTCATCAAATATGAGAAATTTGTCTTTATAAATAACTTTTGTTTGTTTGTATTATCTGTGTGTCGTGAATACTTCTCCTTAATAGCAGGTGAATCAACTGATAGCAACAGAAGCTGAACTGAAGCAATGGCTGACAGTAGAGCCAGAGCGTAAGTTTGTCTTTACATTGTGATCAAAGCTCTGGCTTCAGCTTCATGAATTTATTTACAGATAAAGCAGAAATATATGAGATCAGGACAGCAGATTTGTGCTAAAGTAACCTCTTATACCATTCCGTATCAAAACATATTGGGTTTTTACTCCTGTGTATTTCATATCTGTTCTTTTTTATTTTTTTATTTTACTCCATCCAGTACTACCACAAAATTCTGAACTTTTACTTCAAGCTGGGAAGGAGGAGGTATGTCTGCGTTCATAAAGTTGTATTACAGAACATTTCTGATTTAATTGCATTGCTCTGGTTCTGAAAACTGTTTTTTTTTTCACCTTTGTTTCTCATAGATGCTCAAGCTCTGCTCTGAACTGGAGATGATTGTTTCTTGCTGCGAAGCCAAGCGAGACAAACTGAGAGAAACAAAAGAACTGTATGTGACTTTTTGGTTTTAATACAAGTTTCAACAACTTACTGTCCTTCCTCATTGCATGTTAAAGCTTTCTAGAGGTGAATTGACGAGACCCTCTAGATGTTTGTATTTCTTTTTGCTTTGTGCATTGTGCTGAAATTTTTTGTATTCTAGGGAACAGAAGTGGCTGGAGGAAAAGAAACAGGCTCTGATAGCTGCTACTGACCATGCTGAACGAGTCAGGAGTGAAAAAGACAAATTATCAAAGATCAGGTATGTGTGTGGATGCAGTCACACTACACCAGAGGTGTGACGCATGTGAGAAACACAGAAAGTATGAAAGAGGAAAATAATCACATATACTTCATAATAAATGTGTGTTTATTTATAAATCCCTCAGTGACACCAAGGCTAAAATCCAGAAGATGAAGGCTTATGAGGAGAAGCTGATGGAGTCTTTGGGGGAAGTACTGGAGAAACATGTTCCTCCACCTCAAAATGAATACAAGAGGAAGAAGGTGCAGTTAGCTACAACAATTTTACATGTGATTAATACCGAGGCGCAGCCTAACAACTCTGTTTCTATTTTTAGAGCGACACACCAGAACTTAATGAAGACATGATTTCACTCAATGAAATTCTTGAGGTGGGTTAAGATGCACTTAACATGGGCTGAAAGTCAACAGATTTTGTGGTGTCAACGGAAGCAGTCAGGATAATCATTGAGAACATGCAGATAGCAGTTTTTTTAAAGTCCCTCTGATGTTGTGGAGCATGGGGGTAAAAAATAGACATGAAAGAAGAAAAAGTGCTGCAAAAGACACAAGTTGTCAAACTGAATAAAAGTGAGATTTATAAGATGTAGGACTGTATTAGAGTAAATATACACAGTGATTTGTGGATTTGCCAATGTATTACAGGTACGCTAACATGGTGAGTTAAGCTCAATGGACCTTGTAGCATCCATTGGCAACAACTATAATATCACCGTCACGATAACCGTAATAAATGTTATTTTTTAAGACTAGTTTTGCCATAACTGCCATAACCATATAATGCCATCTGTCCTCACCGGCTTGGCTCCTGCTTTGTCAGGTCAGTGTCCGTTAGAATTTCTACTGTGCCTCTGTCCAGTTTGTAGGTGAATGATGAAGTATAGTTTTATTTTTTATCATTGCAGTGATCTGATATAGAAACCAAGGATTCAGGATAACATTGAAGTTTTAGTTCTCTCTTGAACTTTCTAAATAAAAGACCCACAGTCAGGAAACTGCTGTTATCATGTTGCTGTCTCCTAGCATTTCAAAACAGAGTTAGATATATGATCGAAAATGTATTAAACAGTCCCTGAGTTCATGCTTGCCTGCATATTTTGTAAATTGTATTAAAATGCCACTTGACTGATTGTCCTCTTCCTCCTTTCTCTGACAGTTGCTCATGAACAAGGTCTTGACCACACCACATGACCCTTATGTGATGATTGATGACACATTTTGGCCACCCTACATAGAGATGCTGCTGCGCTACGGTATTGCAGTGAGGCACCAAGAGAATAACTTCAAGATCCGCCTGGAAACCTTTTGGTGAGGCAGTGGTACATAAAACCTCTGGAACAACACTTGCTTGTTTATCATCAACCCCTGCTTGTACAGTGATATCATTATGTGTATAAATGTTAGTTGGTATGAAGATCTGATGAGTGTAATAAGAAATTATGTTAATATTAGCTGCATTTTTGGTAGGTATGGATCACAGTTGTGTACATTATAAAATGAGTTTTTTATCCAACTTGAGTATTCTCTTTTTAAGATCTGTTGGCACTGAAGAACCACGAGTCTTGAAAATATTGGACAATCTAATGTTTGTTGTAAAAGTAAAGCCATGTGTTAGAAATGAATTTAGTATCTTTTGAACAAAGTGCTATTAGTTTTTAATGTAAATAATTCAAACTTAAAAAGGTTGAAAGTCTTCTTGTAACTACATTTTTTTGATCATATCCAATATGTAATTAAAGGATGTGTTTTAATGAACAAAAAACAGTGCATGTGATTAATTTCCCTTTTTTTTTTAATGGTGTCGCAACTCATAATGTAATAAAAGTTCATAATGTAATGAGCGGCACATAACGTAATAAATTGTTACATTACCCTGCATTATGTGCAAGGGTGTTATTAAATAAAGCACTCGTGATTGTATTATGTTATGAACAGATTATTACATTTTGAACATTAATTATATTTAACTTGTTACATTTTGAACTGTTATTACATTATGAGTTGCTACAATTGGTCATTTACTGTTTGAACCGTCACATCTTTTAAGATGTCACAGTTTATCTTTTGACACTGTACACTACATTCTAATTTATTAATAATAATAATGATAATAAACTTTATTTGTATAGCACCTTTCTAGAGCAGTTGTCACAAAGTGCTTCACAGCCACCAAAAAAAAAAGGGTGAGACAACAAGACAAAAATCAACAAAAAGTACAAAGGAGCCAAAGTCCTAGTTATACAAAGGCAAGTGCAAACAAATGGGTTTTCAACTGCTCTTTGAAAGCGTCCACAGTGTCCACAGTCCTCAATTCTAGAGGGAAATTTTGTTGGTATATGTACATAATCTCACCCATGTACTCTTTTATTTTATTTTATTTTATTTTTTTACTTCCCTTAAAGCACAGGTGTCAAACTCAAGGCCCGGGGGCTAAATCTGTCCCATGGAACAATTATATCTGGCCTACAAGATCATATCATATTTGTATTATTATTGGCCCACCAGTATGAAGTCTGCAGATTTCCTCCAGTAAAATAATATAAACTTTAGCACCATTATATAAAATGTCCTTAACAATCCACGAAAATCTGGAAAATTAAAGAGTAAGGAAGATTTGATTAATAGTCAAGAATGTGGGGGAAAAATATTTGGTGTTTTATTTAATGTTTTCAATTTTGCATCTCAAGATTACAAGTCAAACATGATTGGAATTTTTATTTCATGCTTTGATTTTATTTAACTCAGTATTTAGACTTGTGTCATTTTGTACTTTAGATTCCAATTTTAAATTTTAAGTCATATTTTGACCTTTTAAACCTGATTTCAACATTCTTCTCATGTATTTGCTCTTTAAAAACATTATTTTTCTATTCTTAATATCATGCTCTGACCTTTTGAACTAATAAATAAAAATAGAATAAAAAATGAAATGAAATTTTCTATCTCAGATTGCCTTTAAACTTATCTTTTTTTCCCCAAATGATTTATAATCTTTGCTGTTTTTCTTACATATTTTTTGAAAAGGAGGTTGACAGTTTTGGTGAAATGTTGACCCTGTTTCGCCCTCAGGTTAGACCTAAATCCAGATTATGGTCCTTGCTGTGGTTGAGTTAGACACCTTCCCCAAAGGATCAATAAAGTTCTATCTAATCTGATTTAATGTTGAATAAACGTGAATTTATAAATGTTGTGTAATGTAATGAGAGAAAGTGATAATTTTTAAAAAGTAGTCACTTGCTAGCTCAGTAGAAGGCGTCTTGTCCATCAGGTCGATGGTAGGTGAATTTCCAGCGATGAGAATGAATATTTCATGATAACGTGAAACTTGATTCATGAGAAACTCTGTGCGTCATGTGACGTCAGAGCCGCCGGCCTATCCGGTGCGGGCGCCGCGTCAGCTCTAGAATTCCTGTGGGCGGAGAGGGGATTCCGGTTCCGGGTGTTTTCATATCCCTCTCGGAGGCGTATAGCTCCCTGATTATGGTCTTTTATCAGAAACTTCTTAAGAACGACGACTGATTTAAGTAGTTTTTTTAAATTAACAGAGTCTTACCGAAGCCGTAAAGATGACTACCCGCTCGGAGAGGGAGAAGGCCCAGAAACTGAACGAGCAGCACCAGGCCATCCTGTCCAAAATGCTGAGAGAGGAAGACAACAAGTACTGCGCCGACTGCGAGGCGAAAGGTGCGACAGCCCTGCCATCGAAACTGATCCATTTAACCACACAGAGCTGACATTTTCAACAAGGATGATGAAGACTGAAGCATCGGTGTTTGTTAGCATAGCTGAGCTCAGGGTCAGGATGGACGTGGTTCGAGTCCGTCAGCTGACTCCTCTGAAGCTAAACTAAGTGGCTAACTAGGAAGCTAACTTCTCTAAATCTACATAAGCTCCACACAGTACCTCCCTCCCTTTACCAAGTCCACAGCAGAAAATGGTCTTTTATTTCTCACTTCTGTGTTTGATAAAGAATTCAAATCTTACCTTTGGGACTTAGGATCTTGTATGTTGCCCTTTTTGTATTTTTTCACATCAAAACCCTATTTTTGGTTTTATCAGGTCCGAGATGGGCATCATGGAATCTGGGAGTATTTATCTGCATCAGGTGTGCTGGCATCCACAGGAACCTGGGAGTACACATATCCAGAGTTAAATCAGTCAATCTGGACCAATGGACCTCAGAACAAATCCAGGTACTGCTTTGTTTGGTTCTCATAATGTAGTATAACCCCAGCATACAAAGATGCTTTTTACTATCTTCTCATTGGTCTGGTCTTTTTCCATGAGGCTTCTTGTGTATTTTGGGGTTAATAGGAGATGGATTTCAGTGTCTTTTTCTGTATTTATTGTACTAATGAGACATTTTACTGCCTCAGACCCTTGAAGGCATCACTGACTGTCAATTATAGGATGTACTCTTTGTGTTTTTAATCAATTAAACTAATAGACTTGCAAGATACTGATCAGACTTTCAAAATATAAGCTCTATATCTGAGTGACCTCTAGGGCTGGGCGATATAAGAAAAAGTTTATCACGATATATTTTTTCATCAATTGATATCAAAATAAATGATATAAAAAACGAAATTTAACAGTGCTTATTGGCATCTTATCGTCATCTGTTGAACCTTCATCTGCATTTCTGCCGGGGGTAGCACTCATTTCTTTTTTCTCACAGACAGTGCTGTCAGCTTGATGTGTTAAAGTGCTATGGTTGTGTGTAGCTGCTGCCTGTTACTACGCATTTGTTTGCTACTTGGTTGTAATTCAGCACGTGATTGGTTCAGCGTGAAGCGGACCAGAAGCAACTCCCCTTTTCATTGGCTATTCGTACAGTCTACCAAAACATGTCAGAATGCCGACTATTGAAAAGCATTTTGACCATGTTTTGTATTGCTATTGAGGGAACTTAATTTTTGATATACATCATTATTGTTTTATCGCCCAGCCCTAGTGACGTCTCAATCTGGATACTGTTAACATAAAAAACAAACCATAGGGTCTTTATATGACATGGAGTTACTGGGAACCAAAGTAACCACTTTTCACTTGGAAATTTAGGGTTACTTGAACATCTAATGCCCAATAAAACAGTAAGATAAATGTATTCTTTGGTTCATTTTACTTGAATTTCTCTTTTAACACATTTTCATACTGCACATCACCAATGAAGGCAAGAGAAGTCACACACTGTCAATAAAGGTACGAGGCGAGAGGACATGTTAAATAAACAAGCTCAACCTCGGTATGAGTGCATGTCAATATGGTTCCTCTATATCCAGGTCGTTCAGGTTTCCTCTTTCACCAACCACAGCCATCAGAGACAATCATTTACTCTTTCAAAGTTCAACTATAATATCCATGATGGCATTACTTTTCAGCGGTCTTATCAAAAAAGAGCCAAAAAGAAACAGAGTCATACAGTTTGTTATGACGCACTTCTCTGAAAGCTATGATACATCCTACTTGGATGTTTCTAATCATAAAGGCTCTGAGAATAGTGTTTTTCAGGGATGGTTTGGACATCGACCCCAAATCTGCTGCTCTCTCAATCTCTGGTGCTGTTGTCTAGATGATTTTCTAAATTATTTATGGATTATTAAGACGTTTCACACCCCTGTGTAGTCCTCCCACTGACGATGAAAATTATTATCATGGATGAGTCTAACCATGTGACCTTTTTGACTGTGTCTTCATGCTCATATGATTAGTCTCTTTGGTTAATCACTCCATCTGTCTTCTCTGCAGAGTATACAGGACATGGGTAATACCAAGGCAAGGCAGCTCTATGAGGCAAACCTTCCAGAAAGTTTCAGAAGACCTCAAACAGACCAGTATCCTTTACTATGCGTCCATGCCCTTCAAATAACCCTTGACTGCAGTATACTTTGAATTTCAACTATTTGCTGCTTTGTGTTTTTCCTGAACTCTGACCTCAGAGCTGTGGAATTCTTCATCAGGGATAAATATGAGAAGAAGAAATACTACAGCAAGAATGTGACCAATGGAAGCAGTGTATGTGACACCTCCTTTCTCTCCTCTTTAAAGCTTGATTTGTTTTAAGCGTATTTGGACTTTTTAAGTTGGATGTCTCTGTTTGTTTTTTTCAGCCAAAAGATGTTAAGAAAGAGAAAGAGCCTGACAGAGGGAGCAAGGCATCATCATACACCAAGGTGAGAGTCTCTCAGGCTGATCACATCTCAAGTAGAGCTGTAGAAACACGTACTTCAGCGATGTTGCATGTATCTAAATACTTCATATTTTCAAAGAGTGAAGAGTCCAGGCCAGTTCCAAAAATCAGCCCCGCTAAGACTTCAGAGCCCTCTGTGAACCTACTAGGCCTCGGTGAGTACCTGAACACTCCATCTAAAGTCCTCTGAATGTTACAGTTGAAGCTTTTAGCCTGATGAATACCAGGATAGTGAAATCCTGTTTAATGTGTCTGATAGTGAGGACAGTGACATGTGGTATTGTTGCTCAATGTACTAAACGCTGACTGCGCATTTCCTGTAGTCCTGGCTTGTAGCTTTTACTCTGACATTTTTGCCTGTCTTTTTAAACCCTCTTTACTGAAAGCAATAGCAGCGTTCAAGTGAGATATTTTTTGATCCTAAGTAGGCGCAGGGCCAAAACCTGTCAAACTTGTCGACTTGATGTGTGATAACGAAGCTCTTAACCCAAGAGTGAAAGTCAGCTTAGGATTTCTATGTGCGGTTCTCTTACGGTCAGTTTCTTACACTTGGTAACATCAGTCACATTCCTGAAACTCTTTAGACAAACTTAGATCTGCTGTGCTGTTGGTAACTTAACTGTTATGAAGTCTGTTGATCTTTGAAGCCGTTTCAGAGCAGACTACAGAAGTGTGCTCCAAAGTAAACATCTGTACCAGTGAGCAACTGCAAAGCTTGTTTTGTAAGAAAGCTCGGTCAGTCACAGTATATTACCGCTTATTGTAAACTGCTGATGTTAAAACAGTTAATTTAAACATATTTTGTAGGCTCATTGTGGAGAAGGGTTTAAAAATGATAGGCTTGTTTCCACCAGGATAAAAAGAACTATAGGAAATTAAAACAAGGTGAGAAATGATCACATGACTTTGGCATAATCATGAAAGCTAGATTTAACCTGCGGAGTGATTTTGCTTATAAAGGCTGTTTTCTGCAGTAGAAAGGTGGTAGTTGCTTGTTCATCACTTTTGATGTCCATTCATTTGTTATCTAGTCCATCTATGTTTTTAATGAGATAGCCCTATCAATAATGATTGAAGCCATTACTGTTTTCTTACCACTTCATTACAGTAGTTTCATTTACAGTCTGGAAGGAAATTAAATGTCAGTGATAATGATGGACTTGACCGGCATTGGTATTTGGATCTACTGTTATTCTTGTTCTGTGCTCAGTAAAACTAATAAGAGCGAGTGGATTAATTATAGTTGTAAATTTTTCAAGCTAACTGTTGTGATGCGAATTGTGTGAGTATTTCTCAAGCTACAGGAGGGCATTACAGTCACTGAAAACAAAAAGAAACACTTCTTGAGTATCAAACATGAGCTCTCAGGTCCACTTTCAAGAATGTTTGCGAATCATTTCAAGGTTTTTATGTTTTATTATTTAAGTTCTCTGTGAATTCATTGGGAATTTTCTGTGCTGAGTTATGCTTCCTGACTCACAGTTGTTCTCCATTGTTGTTTCTTCTTGACTGTGTTAGCTCATTTTCTACCTGTAAAACTGGTTATTTCACCTCCTGTGTCACAGACGCACCGACAGCTGCATCAACTAACAATGGTAGCACAAGCACAAGCCAGAACAACAATGACCTGGATATATTCGGCCCCATGGTGTCCAACCCCCTACCCGCATCCTCGTCGGCAGCTCAGTTTTCTCAGGTACGACCAAGCAGGAACCCATTATTGTCCTAATTTCTCTGCTGACTGGAGCGCTTTGGTTGTTAAGTGTAAAACTTGGACTAAGTGAGCGGTGGAAAAGTATAAATTGAGAGGAAAATCACCGGCTTCAATAGGCCACAAGACAGAAACACTGATCCTGAGAGAGAGAAGCAGGCAGAGATTGAATGCTGCTAATGAGGCAATCATTTAGTCGAACATTTAAATGGTTCAATTCACAAAGATGATTCTCATTGATGATTCATCCATTTGTTATTTTAATGAATCACTCAGTGCGTATTAACCATTATAGACGACTTAAGAATTTGTTTGTTAATCAATATGAACTGAAAATGTATTTCACAGTGATATCAGAACACAATCAGCCTTTTGAATGTGTCCCAGACTCTAAGAAAGTTTTTTTTCTTTATTGTTTCATTAAAAGAAAAATGAACAAGAGGGAAGTGATTTCTGTCTCATAACTGAGCAATTTACAACCATAACTCCATATTTAAGCGTCGCACTGGTATTTCTGGCATTTTAAACTGTTCTAGTAGGTTAAGCTGGTTAAGCCTCTGTACTCCAGTGAAGGTTTGTGTGAGTGTGTATGAAAGAGAGGTAGAGAGGGTGAGGAGAAATGCTCTTAAATCAGGAAGTGATAACTGTTTGAAATGCTGCATACTCTAGTATTTTCACTTGTAACGTTACAGCACACATGGTCCTGATGAAATAACTGGAACAAAGGTCAGTATGTATTAAATAAATAAGCTCCTCAGGCTGCGTCGGTTTCAAGCAGCCTGTAAGTAGGTCACACCTGATATATGGGTTATCAATGAATAAAGTATAGGAACCGTTCTGTCAAATTTGGCAACTACAGCTGATGACTGTGTGCCAGCATGATAAGCAGGGCGTTCCGTTGCTTCCAGGCCTTGTTCAGACTATGGTGAGGAAGCAGAATGTGTCATATATTTAATGAATAAACCTTTGTTGATTGGTCGTTGGTTCGATCAAACCTGTTTTGTCAGAATAGCTCCTTGGGAGTGAACCATAATTGTGTTACTATGTTTTTCTCCTTCATTTCATTTCCTTAAGTACAGAAGTCCAGGCTCTGTGCTAAATTTTTTTACTGTGATCCAAAGGTTTTTCAAAGTCTCTCGCTCGTTCCCTTTCTTTCTAGGTGAGCTCCGGTAATGCAGCTAGCACTCCGACACAAGCTCCGGCAGCAGCAGGAGCGGCAGGAGGTGGAGCCAGCTCAGGGTCAGGGCAGGGAGACCTGGACTTGTTCAGTGACAGTAGTAGCACCACTAAAACTGAGGACACAGCCAAGAAACCACTGTCTAAGGACTCCATTCTATCCCTGTATGGGACAAACAGCATGTCTCAACAGGCCCCTGCTGGTGAGGACCTTAATGTCGTTCTCCTGGTTTGTAAAGTTTAGTAGATGTTAAAAAAAAAGATCATGTACTTTTAGTTTAGTATTTTGTTTTTATTGGTTTAACTCATAACTTAAGACACATTAAGTTCAGATGGAGCAAACTTTCTTAAATGTAAAGTATATCGATCAGTGGCAGAAGTAGCAGAGAGGAGCCAAAATGCTGTCTGTCCTTTCCTGTCTGGACAGAAATGTTAGTACACAAGTCATGTTTCTGTAGCCTTGCTTGTTTGCATTTGCTGTCATAAGGCTCTATGAATCGCATACTTGTACATGGAAGTGACAGCGCCACGTGGTTGAGTGTTAAAATATTCAGGAGGAAAGCATAACAGTTTGGCTTGGTTGTTATGTCGCAGAAGCTTTGAAGAATTTGCTCTTAGGACACACTTGCTGTGTACCCAATATAACAGCCAAACCTAACTTAAGCCAGAACCAATATTAACCTGCTCAGAAATCATTTGTCAGTACATGCACACAGAATTTTTTTCATAATACAAACAGAAAAAGAAACCAAAACAACTTGGGCCAGCTGTACACAGTATAAATCATCTCTAACATTACATATCCACGACCTTAATCTGAACCAATCTTCTCTTTTTTTGTCTTCTCCAAACCAGCTGGCATGTACATGGGCCCCTCACAGATGCAGTTTCCTGTCCAGGCCGCTGCTGGTTATCAGGCCTTCCCTGGCATGGGTGGGGCTATGCCACCTACAACCGTCATGGGTGCCATGATGGCTCAGAGCGGGGCAGCCATGATGGGGCCCAATCCGGGGATGATGGTTGGGATGACAATGCCTAACGGCTTCATGGGGAACGCACAACCTACAGGTGTGATGGGCATGGCACCAAGGATGATGGGACCCCAGGGTGGTGCAATGCCTGCAGGCATGATGCCTGCTCAGGGCATGTACACCATCCAGCCCGGGCAACAGGCTCAGTGGAACATGGGTCAGGTATGAGAGCCTTCATGCAATGCTCTTTACTCTAGTGTTGTAGGAGGGTGTATAACTAGAATCAAAACTTTGGTGTGGTTGTGTAAAAGTGAGTGACTCTCTGTTTGAGGGATTTTGATCATATGTGGCCACATCAACACTTTTTAGTGCATTTCACAATAGTGCATTGTGAAATGTTTTACTGTACAGGATGTATACAGAGTAAACACTAGGTGGCAGTATAATAGGGACTGAAAGCAGGAACTCTGTTTTAGTTCTGTGAAACACAACTCTTCTTGCCAGGTTTCAATATAAACTGTATAATAGCCATGATGTATGCTAATTTAAAAGCTGATTTTCTTAACATTAAATGTAAAATCAACTATGATCAGTTAGTCCCAGAAACAACAAAGAATCTATTTTTTTCTAGAGTTGATGACTGTCATGTGGTGGAGCGGGTGATATTTTATCATAGGTGTGTTTTTTTTTGTATGCTGACTGCATCAATATGATGCTGTGTAAGAGATTATTGTATCAACTTCTTATGTTGAAGTTATTTAGTTGTTATTAACAAATCAAAGCTATAGTTATCAGCTCTGTCTGGATTAGAGGGCAGAACATAGCTCACCTATCTCCATTAGGGATGTGTCCCACTAACTTTTCAGGCCACTCTCCCACCCACCCTGTTACTATCATACTTCCCAACTGTCAAGACCAGTTTGGGAAAGAGATTATTGGTTTTGCCATGACTGATCCTAAAGGAAACTGTACATTTTCAACGAGCAGGGAAGAGATGCAGTGGACTCCTTTATGTGGGTTGATTTGATCATTGATCAGGATGTCCTTGGCATCACTTTTTCTGTTTGTTTGAGGGTATTTATTGACCATAGCCAAGTGTTGAATACCGCCTGGAAATAGTTAAAGGATAATTCCAGCAGGTTAATTCAGCTGATTGCAGTCCCTCCATGGTAAACAGGACCCCAGCACAAAGCACACTGGGAGACTGAAAGGCTGTGGAAACTACAAGGTTTTTAAGTAATCATCACTTACAATAAAGCAGTAGAGAGGTTCCTGACCAAGCAGGGTCAGGGTGGATTAAAGTGTCGCAGTGATGGAGTTTTGAGTGAAGATCAGAGGAAAATTCTGGTTTGTTGCAGATTGCATTGCTTGAGTTTTTTACTCTTTCTCTCTGTGACATCCTCAGGTGAACCAGCAGATGTCAGGGTTGACTCTGAACGGTGCAGGTGGTCAGATGGCCTTCGCTCAGCCTCCGTCAGCTATGGGTGGATGGGCTGCTGCTGGATCTGGCCAGACTCTGAGCACACAGCTGTGGAAGTGAGCCTTCATGCAGGTTGATGGTCGGGCAGAGTAAGAGCCGAGGCTGCAGAAAGTGCAAAATATATCTTGTGCTTCTCTGCACCTCGCTATGAACTGATGCCCATCTCCATCACGGACCAGCCTTCAGAACATGGAAATTCTCTCTCTTTCCCCTCTCCCTTTTCTGTCTCTCTATTTCTCTCTATTGTGTGAGTGAATTGGGAGTCATACAGGATTACAGCCTGGCAGTTTCTGCCTGTCGTATGGTTTTTGATCATAACTTTTATTTTCCTTTTTTGGAAAAAAGAAAACAGTGACAAGGAAATAACAGTCCCAACAAAAATGATATCGACATATCAGAAAAGCTGCAGGACCAGTAACACAAGCTTTTATTGTATCACTGTATCATTATAAGATTATAGAACATTTAATGAATAGTATTTAAAGGGAGAAGATTTGACTATCAAGTCTGTCTGTACTGCTCCCAGATGTACAGCGCTGTATAACCCTCTTTTAAAGTACTTGTGGTTCCCCCTATAAAATAAAGCGATAAACAACTTGATCTGACGTGTGGTCTATGATTCGGCTGAAATAAGGTGATTTTCATGTTTGAGATCTGGGGCTGTGTTGTTCAGAGGTCAGTAGGGAGCGTCAGGGTTCCTACTGAAATATGGAAATAAATTCGATCAGGTCTTAAAAAGTATGGAAAATGAAAAATAAAGTATGGAAAAATATTACCACACAGTTTAAAATACTGTTTTCTGAAAAAGAAAAGTAGGTATTTCCAAAAATAATCCTAAAAAGTAGGGTATGGAAATTCCAACTGTGTAGAAACCCTGGAGTTTTAACGTAGTCTCCAGATTTGACACAAGCGTCTACATTAACTCCAGCATGACCTGATTTTAGAGGTCAGAGTTAAAGGTCATTGCTCAACTTGGTGTTCCCTTTGGTCAGTATTTATCCAAAGCATGTAACCCCATACAATCAATTAGACAAGTTCACAGCATAGATAGACTGTGTATAGAATGGACATCATCTGGGTGAAGCCTCAATGAGAACAGCACCCTCTGGTGATGGGCTGCAGTATAGGTCATATACCCCACCTCCTCTAGCAAACTTAATGGAACTGTGGACAAACTTTAGAAATTAATTACACAGAATTAAAAATGTTCTCCATCCTGGTTGTGATATTGAAATGTAGTTATTGTAAAACTAATCTGTGCTCAAGTCCTCTTCACATGCAATTTAGTTCAAAATAGGAACAAAAGGGATTACAATACACAGTCCCAATAACATGGACTCTCACCATCCAGATTTTGGATGCAGTGATTACAAAGACTGACACAGGAACAACTAATGAGACTTACAAGTGAGTTGGTTTGACATGCTGAGTTTGAGGTGACCTTTATTATCACAGAAAAAAAAATATTCAAAAAGTTGAGAGCACACATTTGTCACAAACTCTAATAAACACTTCAAACCAGTAGATGCAGTCAAAACTTCATTGAAACATCACTTTCAGTTCTTTATAAGACTATATTTAATATATTTCTGTGGTCTGGACAAAAAAGCAGGAGGTTTGAGGTTGAACCATGTAGCTTTCATTCACAACCCTGATCCTCAAAAGGTCAGGATACTGTGTAAGACATTCCCAGATTAGATTAGGATGGTTCGCACATCACTCAAACTCAATGTAGTTGAAAATACTGCAGAGACAACATATGCCTATATTCAGTTTGATGCCAGTGACATATTTACTATTGTGTTCTTCTTTGAATATCAGTCTGTAAAGCTTTGATTTCCAGAGTTTATTGTTGAAATGTTGTCCCACTTTTGGTTTAGTATTTTCTGCTGCCCAGCAGTTCAGGGTTTCAGCTGTCATCTTTTCCATTTCAGGATGCCCAAATACGTCAAAGGCTGACAAGTCGGGATTGCAGGCAAGCCAGTTTAACAGCTAGACTCCTCTATTACTGAGCTATGCTGTTATTATACATGCAGAATGTGGTCTGACATTTTCTTGCTGAAATACGTACGAGCATATGATTCGAAACCCGTGTATGTTGTTCAGCATTACTTTCAGATGTGTTTCTGATACAATCCATGCTGTCACAGGTTCTGTGCACTACTAAAAAGTCTGGTTGTCCCCCATTTCTTTTAGAGCAGAGGACACAGTGTCCAAGACTTCCCCCCCAAAAAGTCAGGTTTTGATTGTTCAGACGGATAGTTTGCCTTTTTGTCTCAGTCTGTGTAACATGAGTTTGGGCCCTGTGAGTTGGGGTGGCAGCTTTTGTAGATCACGCTTATATGTGGTTTCTTATTTGTGTTGTACATTTTTGGCCATCCTGTATGGATACGGGGGAAAATGTTATTCACAGACAGGGATTTTGGAGGTGATTTCCATTGCAGAGATATATCTTTTAAATCTAATGCCACCAAAATCACAGCAATGTAGTGTTAGGTTTTGGCCTTATCTCTTTGCGCAGGGATTTCTCCAGATTCTCTGAATCTGTCAATAATATGTATGTACGCTGAGAAGCATTATTCTGAAACTGCTGGACTATTATCTTAATGCAATCTCTTAAAGAGCAATAATCCTCTTCCTATCTTTACTTCTAAGAGACTATTGGCCCCTTGCATACCCACTCAAGGTTTCTTGCTATTTGTAAATTAACAAATTAAAGATATTTCCTTGTGTTTTTTAAGTGAAACATAACTTTTTTTCTTTTTTTTTTTCCCTGTAGCTACCAACTTTTTTTTTTTTTTTTGGAATGTTGTTAGCATCAAATATAAATAAGGAGCATGTTTTTTTTTTTTTTTTTTTTTTTTAAATAAAACAATGATTGTTTTCTTTGTTTAGTTGTAGCAAAAGTCTTTGCCCCTGTATTTTCAGTTAAATCCAAGATAAAAAAAAAAGACAGACTTATTTGGAACCAGATTTGCAGCTCAGGAGTTGGGTACTTAAGACGATCATTACTGCCCCTGTCCTCAAGATGGCAGTGTTGTAAAACAAAAAAAAGTCAACTTCAGGCTGCAGAGTTGATTTTAAGTTTTCTAGTGTCCGAGAGTTTAGAGGATCAAAAATATGATACTTCTCTGACAGAGTAAACTCAGAGCTGGCAGCAGAGTGCAACACTGAGAAGTTCATTCTAATGTTGTCTCAGGTAAAGTGGAATGAGATGTATTTATTGAGATGTATTAACTCCAGTCATTGTTGAAATCTGCAGTGCTGAAACTTCTCTCTGGGGGTTGAATTAGTTGTAAGGCTGTCCAGATTATTTCTACCCTCCCTGTAGTAACTGCGTTACATAAGATTTCAAAGCACATACACATTTTCTAAATATAGCAGTCCTTAAACTTTGAGCAAACATCTGTACTGAATTTATTTAATCCACACAAGAGATAAACAAAGTCTCTGTGAATTGCCTAAATATTGAGAAAGTGAGTCTGAAAGTGTCTGCGATCGTGATGTTATAAACCACATGGAGGTTTTTAACTGTCACAAGATGTCAAATGTCTTTCTTATATAATATCTAAATCGAGCATCACTTGGGGGCAGTCTTGCAGCATTCAGAGGAAAAAGGGAGTTGTCCACTGACGTCTGAGGCCAAAATGACCTGACTGTTAAAGCTGATGTTCTGATCAGTAATGAGTGCTGCTGCTGTACTTCTGCTGATTTTGAGGTTTTTCCGCTGCCTGGCATCAGTAATCAGAGCACTGAGTTAGTTATTACTACTGGGATGCAATGAATGCACCTTTGTTGAAATTTATTGTCAGCCTCTAAGGCACCTTTACACACAGCCAAACCTGGAAAGTCAGACTCATAACACATGTTCATAGTCAGCAGCAGTTTAGCAGGGAAAATCTGCCTCACTTTGCCTCAGCATGGTTTTGATCAACTGCTCTTTCCTTGTGTGGTTATTCTCTGCATCTTCTTTGGGATTTAATACATTCGTATGTCTTTAAACACAAACTCCAGCTAGCCACCATCACTTTGACTTTAGCTGCTACAGGATGAAACTGTTTCTTTGTATAACAACAGACGCACTGCTGCTAAGCTGCTGTAATCCATCCTGGTCTGCAGGATCTTCAAACTGCGTGGTGGGTGTGATTCCTTAAACCAGCCCTACCTGTTAAACCCCCATCTTAGAGCTGTCCTAAACTGCACAGGAGACGACACTGTCAGTGAAAATGTTTTGTGGTGTTAAAAGACTGTCAGAGGCTGCTCTTGATTGGACAAGAGAACAAATTCACAGCAGTGCAAATGGAGGAAAACTCACATCTATCTCATGCTTGGCCGGGCCTGTCAGCCCCTGAAGTGTATGTGGTCTTGTTCCACTCTGTACCTCTCAAATGTTCCAGCACCTCCCCTGCAGCTGAGCACAGTTTGAAAACTTTCACAGTGAGGTCTGATGCCATACAGTGCATTCCTCTCAGCCTGTGTGTAAAACCTAACACCGCTCCAGAATAGAGTCGGCCAGTCGAGTGAACACTGCTCCGTCTCTTTCCAGCCTCTTAATGGACTTCTTGACCCTGAAACATAAGACATTCCTGCTGATAAGGGCGTCAGCTTCCAGTCAAATTGTTGCAGATATGACTAATACAAAACCAAACATTTCACTGATATGAAGGCTTGATGTGATATGGTAAAAGTCCACTTTGAAACACAACAGACCCACATCCTGCAAGTGAATTCCACTGATAAGACTTCAACACTGCTGGGATTAATTCATTAAAACCTCTGGGTGATTCAGCCTGTGTGCAGTGATAGATAGTTACAGTTTGGGGAGATTTGACACTCTTTTTGCAGATAATAGGATAAATAAATTGGTACACATTTTTACACGCACACACTAAATGCAAAGCTACTACCAGCAGCAGGTTAGCTTAGCTCAATATAATAACTCGAAGGAGAAAAATGGTCCACCTAGCATCAACACTTGTTAATATTATATCCATAGACTGTATATAGAATGGACAGCGTCTGCCTCCTCGCTGAGTGAAGCCACCACAAGAACAGCACCCTCTGGTGACGGGCTGCAGTACAGGTAAATAAATCTTGCCTCTGACAGCAAAGCCTACGGAGCTGTGGAAAAACTTTAGAAATTTATTACACAGAACATATTTTTTTCTCCCCCCGGCTTGAGCTGTTGACATGTAGTTACTGTAAGACTGGTTTGTGCTCAAGTCCTCTTTTCTCTGTACAGCTCAGTTTTTAAAAGTTATTAGGGGGTTCATGTTTTCTATGATTGACACCTGATACAGCCTATGGGCATACGAAGATTGCATAGCTCACCCGGAGGATACGCTAATTGAGCCGAGCGTCATCAAAGCGACTCTTAGCGTACAATGCTACTGTGCAATATTAGTTTCAGGAAATGGAGAAAAATCGCAGAAATACCGAGAGCTTTTCAGCTTCATATCTGTTTACTGGCAGAAGGCGGAACCAAATTGTCCATAGTATTTACAGTCTATGTTTGATCTCATTCTGTGTAAAAATAACCCCGGGTTAATTTTTTTACCAGCTAATCTGTAATCACTTGCTAGCTTTGCATATAGCGTCATGGTTTCAACTTTCTCAGGAAAATTCCAAACTTCCGAATACGTTTCCTTTAATCATGCAACCTATTGTACTTCTGAGTCTAACTACACATAAGAACTTGTCATGAACTTTTGATTTACTGTTTACAGCCAAGGCGTCTAGCCGCAGGACAAGCGTCTGGTGGGAAAGTCCTTGTCGCTTCAACAGCTTCGGCATTAAGTATCAAAGAAAGTCTTGCTTTTTTGTTCTTGTGAACTTTCATCAATTGAACTGAAGTGAACTGACCTAAGTCAAGTATTTCATGACATCAGTGAGTAACATCTTCTTTTTCTGTGTGATTTCACTCTGCTAGCTTCAGGCTAGTGTCAGATGGCAAACAGCCAGAACCGAGACAAAATACAGAACCGACTGTTGACAGCTTGGCACAGCTTCCGATCATATCACTTTGAGCGACCGTGTGCAGACAGGCTGCCTATTCATGCTACAAATAATAGCTGAAGTGCTGCTGGGTGTCAGGTTTCTTGCTTTTCTTGTTTGTCTTCCTTTCACCTCCCTATCAAATTAATCCATCATTAACCATCATTTCCTCACATATAATTGGCGTACAATGACAGTTTATTAAAATGCCTTTTCGAACCGCAACAAATTGGCGTCGAACCGCTCCCACTTCAAGGTATTTTGGCAAGACGGTTAGCAACCTTTTACAAAACTCAGCGTAAAAATTTTATCACCATTATGTCAGTTACATAAACAAACACAGGCTGTCCCCACATGTTCCTATAATCCATCTATAATGAGCCAAAGCTTTCACGAAAACACAACCTACTCTGCCATTTCATTTATCAAACCTAGAAGATGAGGTACTGAGTGCTTTATTATGGTTTTGAAGATCATTCAGTATCTAATAATAATATCAGTTTTTGTATCCTCTTCAATGATTTTGTCTTTCTGATTTTAAATACCGCTCACACCTTTTTTTCATTAAACTGTCAAACATGCCACTCATCAAGAAGTTTTCTTGTGGAAAATGCAAATTAGAGCTCCTGTGTGGAACTTTTGGTTTGTGCAAACAAAGTAAATTTTACTTATTTTGTCCTCCACATGCCTAAGTAGTGCCTTTAAAAAATATATACCATTCTGTCAACTTTTGACAATCAAATGAATCATTTTTGTGAATATTTTATGTGGAAATTCAAAACCAGGGTATTTCTTTGGCTGATTGGCTGACACCTACCCCCTCACACCAGTTTCAGGCATATCTGTATTGCCAATGTTGTCAAATATATTTTCGATTGCTTTTGGATATTGCAAAAACGCATCAAAAGGAATCTCAGTCTATCTTATTTAAAATAAAATAATAATAAAATAGTAATAATACTAACTACTTCCTGGAGCTTTAAAGCATGCCATTTATGACTTTGTTAATATCACCTACCCCATGACAACAGTTGCTGACACTGAGAAAAGCAGTTACAGGCCTCAGGATTATTAAGTTGTATGTTAATGATATTGTCTGGTTTCAGCCTAGCCATAACGAGTCATCACTCTTCATTTCAGACCATTTTATAACCAGACAAGAGCTTTAATACCTCCTAATCTAAAATGTTTGCGCTGGGAACAACGAATCATATAAAATGTGCAGTTTGGTCAATATTTTCCTAAGTTGTTTTGACACTGTGTGAGGATAAAACTGGTAATTTTAGTTTTGTGACATTTTATTTAATGCTATCACATCCCCTCGGTGTTGGTCTCCATGATAAACTAAGCTAATGTCTTTTGACCCCATCTTTGTGTTAAGAGTGGTATCAACTCCTCATCTGACTCTCTGAAATAAACAAAATTAAATATTTTTTTAACATGTTGATCACTCCATCACTTTAATTTTGCTTGTAGATTATGTATTTAATTCTGAGTATGTTCAATTGAAGTGGCTTTGCTGACAGCATTATACGTCCAAGTCTGAGATTTCTGATGCATGGAGTGTAATCAGTAATGCAAAACTGGTTTACGACTTAATAAGGAGTTGTTCTGTCTGGACATTTCTGTCCATATTAGGTGCCCGCTTGCATTTACACCGTAGCTCTTCTTGGTCAATGTACCATGCACAGTACAGTGTAAAAAGAGCAGCATAATGGACAATAAAGTTTGGCTTTAGTTTACTTGTAGGTTCAATGATGCACAGTTGGCTCTCAACAGGCCATGGCCATTAAACACTGATCTGTTCTGATGTTAAGGTAACATCTTTTTATGACCTCTGCTCTGGGTTTTCATGTCACAGCCTATTACAAGCTCAACTGGAAAGGCTTTGTCATAGACGATCATTACAACAGTGTGGAGGAGACGCTGATGTGCAAGATATGGGTCCAAATATGGGTGAGTAAAGCTGCTCAGGAGGGGAGGTTGCATTTGGCGATCTGATCCCCTAGATAATCTCTCTTCTCCAAAACTAACATTACACCATCAACTAAGAATGATGAACTTTAACAGGATTTCACTGTGATTTCAAAGGCTGTAACTGCTGACCTGTAGAGAGCAAACAGGCTCAGATCTCTCTCTCCTCTCCTCCTCTCTTCACACACAAGCACACACCTCATAATCATAACAATTTCCTGCCTCTCTCTTTCTCACCAAACATAAATTAAGCCACCACTGGGAGAGAGGAGCTCCACCCTGTGTGACACTTAATCATAACAGTGCATTGGTCACTTGCCATCAATCACTGGACGAGGCCAAAGAGCCGCACAGTCACAGATAACACCTGTTTCCACAATGACTGTCTTTGTTCGGTTAGTCAGTGTTTGCGCTCCCTCTCAGTATTTCTATCCTAAGCTGTGTGTTTCTTGTTACTAGGTGACAGGAGCTAGACAGACTTCACGTTACACTATGTTGAAAGCCTCCAGGGCAAAGATTAGTCAACAATTTTGGGTGTGTCTTGTTTAAAAAAAACATCTTCAGGCAAACTTTAAGGTCATATACTTCAAGTGTCCAAACAGTTTGCACTTTTGTTCTAGTTATTTTTGCTCCTCTTGAGCGTGAAGACCATGAGGTTTAATGCTACTTTCTGAGGGGTCTTTTCTCGGACTCCTAATGCTTTCCACTGCAGGCCTGTTATCCATTGTTCACCCTTTTTCCTGACAACAGCCCCGTTACGTAACACAGATTTCCGTAACTCCATACCCCACCTCCCAAAATGTAATGCAGTAGCCATGACAACTGTAAAAACAGAGGGATGTTATTGTAAAAGATATGAACCCTCCATTTTTCTGCTGTAACCCACCAGTGAAGTCACCAAACGACACAAGTTGTATTCACCAGCTGTTTTATTTTTGCAGACGGTTCACACACACCCACACAAAAACACACAAGAAGTCAGGCATTTCTTCTTCTGCTTCAAAAACATTCCTCCTCACTTAACTTTACTCAGGCTTCATTTTCAACTTCTCACAGTCTTTTCAGCATAGTTTCAGTCATCTCTTGTAACAGCTTTATTGGTCAGATAGTGTGTGTGTGTGTTTGTGCGTGTGTGCGTGTGTCTGAGAACAGCATGTCCTGCCGGTTGGCCTCCCTAGCTGGAAGTGCGCACAGTGGTGCTTGTGACGGTGGTTTTTGAGCCCCCTGTAAAAAAAAGAGGGAAAAATTATGACGGGAGTGCCTCAGACTTTCACTTTACTGACTGCTCCATGTGTTATGTAATGCCATGTTAAAAATAATGTCCCTTACCTGAGCCAATGGGTCTAAAACAAGAGACAGAGAGAGCAGAAGAAAGTGGAGAAATAGAGTTAGGTGGGAATGTATGGTGTTTTACAAATGAATAAGTGCATTCTGGTCCCTTTATTTGTGTATCTACCTGGACTCTTCTGTCTCAATCAAACTCCTGTAGGTCGCGATCTCCTGCTCCAGCCTGGTCTTGATGTCCAGGAGCATCCTGTAGTCCTGGCCCTGCTGCTCGATGCTAGCTCTCACGTTGGCGAGTTCCCCTTCAAGCATGTTGATTGTGTTCTGGAAACCTGCTAGCATAGCGCTGTACCGGGCCTCCGTCTCTCCCAGTGTGTTTTCTAGCGCTCCTTTCTGCGGTTGAGAGGAGGTATAAAAGTAACAAGGTTATTTCAGAAATAGTGAGCTCCTCATACTTGCAACGAGATTACTGAAGTAAACCTTTTAATTGCTCACTGCAGTCTGAAACCACCATCCACACCCTGGATTATATATGCCAGACACAAAGCATGTCTGTGTTTGTATAGCATAACCCCCTCCTTTATGAAGGCATAAAAAGGAGAAGCATACAGGACTCTGAATGCATGTGCTTTTAGCTACCTCTCCATTGTTGTACAGGAGCAGAGAGCTCCTTCTGCGGGGAATGTTAAATGATGAAGTGCAGCTGGGCACGTATAATCCACAGTGGTATGACTTTTAGGTCAAACAGTTCAACATTCCTTCAACTTTCTTCAGGCTTTTTTATGTCTTCCAGAGTTTAAGCAGATGTCTGTGAAAACTTTTCTTCAGTATGAGCCTTCTCTCTCCTCACCACAGCCCAGATCACTCCTATCTTTCTCTCCCTCTCCCTGTAAAGACTCCTTTAAAACCTCCCTTTTGGACTTTTGCCCTCTATTACTGTCTGTTTCTCAATTTCCCCTGACAAGACAGCGATCCGGGAATTTTGCTCATATAAGGCAAGATCAGTGAGTTATGAACAGATGTTTTGGGTTGATTTTTTTTTTTTTCTCACCATGCTGAGCTGAGACTGCAGCTCAATCTCCAGGCCCTGCAGTGTGCGCCGCAGGTCACCGATCTCTGTTTTGGACGTCTGGATTGTCTCTGTGTTGATAGCGACTTCCTTGGACAGCGTTGTGGACTAGAGCATGAACATAGTTGTGAAAGAAGAAGAAATCTTGGTGACTGCACAGCTCATTTTCACAGGAGATTATGTTTAATTACAGGTTAGGCTCTTGAGGGAGTAAACACATTCATTTGCAACATGTGGGATATGGTGCCTCTGTTTACCTTCTCTGCAAACCAGGCCTCCTGGTCACGGCGGTGTTTGTCAGTGATGGATTCATACTGGGCGCGCATCTCTTCCAGAACTTTGTTGAGGTCTTGCTGAGGTCTAGCATCTACCTCCACATTGACTGTGCCAGTGAGCTGAGAGCGCAGTGCTGCCAGTTCCTGTACAACCAAGGGTGGAAAAAATCACTTTTAAACATAGTTGCAGAGTTTCAAACCATGCTAAGGTTGTAATAAAGCCGGTTTCATATCGTCATCTTGAGCTGTAATCATCAAAGCTGGAGGATGCGTGTTTGTCACCTCTGCGTGGTTCTTCTTGAGGTAGGCCAGCTCATCTTGCAGGCTTTCGATCTGCATCTCCAGGTCAGCCTTAGTAAGGGTGGTCTGGTCAAGCAGGCGGCGCAGGTTGGCGATGTCGGCCTCGACTGACTGGCGCATCATCAGCTCATGCTCGAATCTGATTGGATTGGAGAGTTGGAGAAAACATAAGTCATTTACATCCCTCACCTCTTTATTTGACTCTGACAAGGAGCAAGGACAGAAGACGTATCTACGCAGATTTCAGCTTACTTGGTTTTAAAGTCATCAGCAGCCAGTTTGGAGTTGTCAATCTGGAGCAGGATGTTGGCGTTGCCGATGGTGGCGGCAGCGATCTTCAAGATAAGGAGAAAAGTTTCAGAAGGCAGAAGTCTCAATTACAGAGCTTATGTCTGAAATTACACACGCTTACTTCCTCAATCTTTCTCAGCTACAACCATGAGTCAGTTACCACACACAACATTTCCATACAGACAACAGGTTATTTTGAGCTTTTGCAAATGATTATCATCTTTATTGATCTATGCAAGGATTCAGGGACACAGTGGATCATGCAGGCTTTAGTTATGACCTTAATGTCCTACCCGCTTAAAACCCTCCTTAGACAATCATTAACACAGCAAACATTTGACTTGTCAGGTGTTTAAACAGTTGAGCCGGTGCTCACTCTACCTTGTCTTTCAGGTCGTTGATAATGGCCCAGTAGTTGCTGTAGTCCCTCTCTGCTGCAGGGCCCTTCTGCTCGTAGTACTCTCTGATCTGCTTCTCCAGCTTGGCGTTGGCGGCCTCCAGAGAGCGGACCTTCTCCAGGTAGGAGGCCAGACGGTCATTCAGGTTCTGCATGGTGGCTTTCTCATTCAGATGCACGGCACTCTGATCCAGGGCATTAGTTAGGTCAAACCCGCCACCGCTGCCCATCCCCATCCCCATCCCCATTCCCATCCCCATCCCCATGCCACCTCCATACCCAGAGGACACGGTTCTGACTTGAGTAGAGGAGATGCGGGGGCCTTGTCTCAGGCTGTAGCCTGACACGCTGTGGGCCTTGTGGGGAGCAGCACTGGATGTGTAGCTGCGGGTCTGCCTCACCATAGAACCAGCGGAAGAGCCTTGGTTGAAAAACATGATGCCTGACTGTCTGCTGGAGAAGAGAGAACACGAGGAGAAAGGACCGTAATACAGCTGTGGACTGTAAGCAGGACTGTGGGGTATGATAGACGGAGGCTGGCTCTTGATATAGTGCTGGACCTAGGGCGGGCCAGGCTGGGAGGAGGGAGGAGGAGAAGGAAGGAGTGAGTTTTTTTTCTCTACAGTTCAGCCACAGGCTTGGCAGAACCTCCATTTGTTTTCCTTTAAGGACCAGAGTTCGGTTTCTTTCCACTCCTGTGAGGGAAGTGTTGTGGAATGTGTGTGTCAGTGTGTTTCTGCAGAGGGTCCTGTTGGGAGCTCTCTCTCAAATGTACAGTAGGTGTTCGTGCAGCCATCTAACATACATGACTTATGCTTTCACGAATACCTGAAAGTCTAGTCTTCATCTCACCAGACAATTGTGATCCTAATTCAAATAGAGGAGGCGTAGAATAATTGTTATAACGTCCCGCCATGTGTCAACATTCAGATTAAGCTCTATGTAAATGATATCCTGAACTGAATTTCACCACGGCTCTTTTGTAAAGTCCCTGTTATGACAAGAGGAAATTTCAGCTGAGTTCACCGACAGGGAACAATTGATTTCAAAGTTTTCGTCATGTGTTTGACGTGGACTGCAGCCAAACTGGTTTCATGGATCAGTTCTTTTTCTGACATGGGTTTGGACTTTTTAACAAAAAAAAAAAAAGAGAGAGAAAAAGTGATACAACAAGACAAATAAAATTGAACTACCTCATGGTGAATTATCCATAAAACTACCTGGCATGGTGTTGGTGTTGAGAGTGCATATATAGGTGTCTGTAATCAATAGTGTTTTCTGACTGACAGCTGTGTGTTGACTTTGTGGCCTTGAAACACAAACCGACATTGTTTTGAGTTAAGGGAATATGTCATAGCCTATTGTTCACCATATCACACTCCACATCCCCCACAGTCCTGTATCCTGTGCTGGAGTGTGTGTTCATGCATGCAGGTTACTTTGTTGGTTTTGGCCTGCGTGGTGGGCTGTGTAAGGGATGGGTCTTAAGAGTTTCTGTGTTCATGTGGGGGGCTTTGGGGTGTGTGTGTTTCTGTGTGTGTCCCTCTTATCTCAGTGTTGGACTCTGGCCAGTTTCCGTGCTCTTCTAACATCTGCTGCCAGCTGGGGGGAGGAGAGGAGGAGGCACATTGGGGTCACCCCTCAGTTTAAGGGAGGAATGAATCATGCTCCTTATGTTCTGTGTAAACTTACCATTACATAATCCACCCAAAGAAAATGGGGCGTTTGGTCATAGATCCTTGTGGACAAAGCAGAAGACTGTTTCTGTTTGGCAGGCAACTTTTAGATTTATTTTAATGACCCATACTGGTTAACTATGTCCAGGCTACTACTTACCGACCACTACTGGCTGTAGGCTGTTAGAGCTGATTCACTATACCCACACACACCGAGGGGGGGAAGCTTAAATACTGTGATGATGTTAATGTGCTATTTTTATGAGTTTCATGCAAGAGGCAGCTCTCTGTGTTAAAAAGTGGAAAGCCAGAGTGGAAACCCAAAAATCTTCACTTTTTGACAGATTGACCATGTGAGGTTGGCTCCAAAATTCAGGGAGTCCCTTTAACAGGATTTTGGATTATGAATATCAATAATGGGTTATAGTTCGATCAAAAAAAAAAAATTAAAGTAAATTTTTTACTTAGCCACTTCTAAGCTAATTGTGTTCAGGGAGTGTCTGGAGGCAAATGTCAGTAGTACCTACAAAACTAGCAAAGGCCGACTATCCTAACCATAGACTGTTTATACTATGAACAACTTGGTTCCACCTTCCACCAGTATACGCTTTTGAAGCCGAAAAGCTCTCGTTAATTCTGCGTTTTTTCTCCATTTCCTGCGAGAAAAGGCAAGGAGGCAGATGACATCCATTCTGTATACAGTCTATGGTCCTAACTACCAGAAATGGTGAATGTAATGTTCTGGGATTTATTGGTCTAACCGTGGACTGAATAATACATGGACTGATACAGAGTTTTGAGGCCTGTTGGAGGTCATCCCCATATTAATCAAAATAAATTCAGGCAAAGGAGTGGAGTTGAGGCAGTTCAGCCAGTCCAGCTTTCTTAACTACTGTGTCAGCAGAGTCAGCTGTGCCTTTAACTATGTTGAACTCAGTCTTGATATCTTCAAAATTAACACATTAAGCCCCCAGCACACAGTGTTAATACATTGTGTCACAGCGTTTACTGTAATAGAGAAATTAGCAATTCAGACTTAAACCTTTTTTTTGGAAACAAGCTGTACTTTTTTTATTTCTCAAGAATTCTTTGGAAAAGATGCCGATGATGAGATGATGATGTCACAATATTTCAAAATGCTGAATCAGCTAAAGCTGACTCACCAGTCAGTCTGTCCCTTGTCTGCACCAATACTGGTTTACTATGCAGGTGTGCTGACATTTATTATTCCTTAATGGAGACGCTCTATAAACTACAGTTTAGCATCCTAAAACACAGGCCTGGAATGCTTTTATTAAGGTAAAAATGATACAATCACAGTTATACATTTGCTAAAATTACAGCATATTCAGGATTTAATAAACCCCTGCACAGTCTCGAAAGCTGCAAGTCTTTTCAATATTTACTAAAATGTGAAGTTCTGTCTATAAAAGAAGGGAATATCATCAAAGAAGCTGGGGAGTATTTCTATGTTTTGGAGTGGTTTTAATTGGTAAAAGTTATTTATACAAACTGCTCTTGTTTAGTTAATATCACTGTTACACAAACCTCCTTTTGGACAGAATGAAGGGAGTCTGTTCCAAAAGTTTGCAGCTGTTTTCAATCTCTTCACCATGATGAAGTAAGTTTCAATCAACGGTGTAACGTCAGGGTTCACTCTGCAGAGGAGGAGGGGCAGGGAGAGACATCTCCAAGGAATGATCACGACAACAGGATTTGAACCTCCAACCTTCAGCATGACTTTAGGGGAAAATAGGCCGTATTTCTTCTTAACTTCAAACACACACCTTACCTTATATGGGCTGGCTTTCAGTCTCCTCTTATAACCTCCATTTTCTTTAAGTAAGTCTATTTTCAAACAAAGCCTTATCACAACAAAGTTCACAGGATAGAGCAACATGATAGGTTAGTTTGTTAGTTTTTTACTTGTTTGCATCTACCGGCCAGAAAACAGTGCATTAAGCTGAGTAGCCTTAGCTTATCCACATTACAGTATTGATCCTTACCTTGCAGGTTAAAGCTTCGTCTATTCCCTTATCACACAGCTACAGCTGGAAGTTTGACTAACCATGATTTGAAAGAGGTGGAATTAGGAAGTCTGGCTCAGTTAAAAAGTCAAATAAATGTATCTGACAGCACCATTGAAGTTGAAAAATCAAAACAGTGTATTAAATGCATTTCTTTGTCATTTCTTTCTTGATTTTTATTTTTAGTTTGGGGAATTAAATCATCTAAAATTTAGATATCCCAGGTTGCCCCTGTCTTGATTAGAGTTAAAAACGAGTCAAGTCAAGTTTATTTGCTTAGCTTCTAATCACTGTTATGGTGGGCCTGTCAGGACCCGCAGTACAACAACAAAGCCTGAAATATGCCTCCTCCAAACTAAGACCCTTGCTGAGAACAGGAAAAATCTCCCACTGGGAGCTTAGTGGGGGAAAAAATCACAAAACCCTGGGAGGAGCTTTTAGGTGTCATACATTCAGAAAGATCCAAGAGACTGAGGTAATGTTTAACAAAATGCTAAAGTTAAGATGAGTGTACTTTAAAGACTGACTAAAGGGTTCAAAACCCTTTAGTTTTCATTCCAAAGTAGAGTCACAAGCTGAATCCATCACAGTCTAAGGACGGTTTCTCTGTTTAGACCTTCTTACATTGCAGCTTAGGCAGTGGCATTCTTGGCACAGGCACTGAGGAACAGGTAATAACCCTCGATGAAGAGGTTGTTTGCTGAAACAAAGTTATGTGTGCAGGGAAAACACCAACGACTGCTTCACATCAGATCTCTCTCAGTGTAATGTGGGTGAGTTCATGTCTGCATGGCCTAGCGTGCTTTCATGATGGGTGTTTTCACTAAAACCAACCTCATGACTCATGGACATCAACTACTGAGTCTCCTCTACAATCTTGGAGTCTTTTTTTTAATCTGTTAATTAAAGTATAAATGCATCCCTTTATGCCAGTGGAGTGGTAGTAAAAATGAATGAGCAGCAGAGAAAGAGTAAGACATCAAGACATGCAATGACCATCAAGTTTTTCATGATAGTTCCTGTAGGACCTACAATATACCTTAAAATAAACATAAGATCTCATAAATCTTTTAAAGTTGTATCATAAACCTCTTGTTTTAACCACTGTGGGATTCTTTCTTGCTGCAGGAGTAACTGAATAACTCAATAACCCAGAGATAACACTGGTCATTATACATTCGTCAGTGTTATCAGCAGACTCTGAGTCATGTGCTAATCAATGCTTTTTAATCAGATTTTTTGTCTTTCATTGTGCTACTGACTGACTCATTTTTGTATTTACTATGTAGAGAGCATGCTAACTATCATTTAAACCCCCAATAAACCAATAAAGCATTTCTTGGTCAACCATCTTTATCATGTTGGTGATTTATGAGTATTTTGTTGCGGCATGCTGTCTAGACTACATGATGAAACAGTAAGGCGAGCCTCTGCTTTAACAGTTTAATGCTTCATCTATTATGTTCTGTTCTAAGTTTCCTTCTTTTCTCTCAAAAGAATAAAAGTGTGCTTTCTATCGGCCACCAAAACAAAGACACAACAAACAGGTCTGTTCTGTTTCTTCGATTATGTGTATAAAAACAGCATCAAAATAATCCTCTATTTGTTTGTCACCTAGCAACCGGGAGGATGTGAGAAAGTAGGTGTTACTGTTCATGCCTGAGTATCGTCTATTGTGTTGAGGTCTGGACAGTCTGGATTCCTGCACCTGAGCACAGATGACTACAGTTTCATCGTACAGTGGGAATTAAAGTTGGCCTGCATTCTCATGTTCTTCAGAAACCGGATACTCCTTTTGTGACAATCGTTCACATTAT